GAGTTAAGTAGAAATCATCTGCCTCACAGGCATTGGGCGAGTTGGGAGGAGGGTATATTGTGGTTCTTGGTGGTGAAAAATGAGCACTGGTGAAGAGAAAGGTGTTTGATCATTGTATGACCGAGACTTAAACCTGAAAGCTTAGTAACTTTCCTCACAGTGATTCAATAAATAAATATAAGAAGAAAAAAAATAAAATTATGAAAAAAAAAGTAAGGTGGAGTTCATGCCCAATTCAATCAGCTAATCAGTGACTGAATAAATAGCAGTACTCCTACATAAAAAAAAATAAAGTATTTCCTCCCTCCCTCCTTCCCTCTGTCCCTCCCTCCCTCCCTCCCTCCCTCCCTCCCTCCCTCCCTCCTTCCTTCCCTCATTTCCTTCCTTCCTTCCTTCCTTCCTTCCTTCCTTCCTTCCTTCCTTCCTTCCTTCCTTCCTTCTCCCTCCCTCCCCTCTTTCTTTCTTTCTTTCTTTCTTTCTTTCTTTCTTTCTTTCTTTCTCTTCCTTCCTTCCTTCCTTCCTTCCTTCCTTCCTTCCTTCCTTCCTTTTTCTTTCTTTCTTTCTTTCTTTTTGCATCATACCTGGCGATGCTCAGGGGTTACTCCTGGCTCATGCACTCAGGTATCACTCCTGGTGGTGCTCGGGGGATCATATGGGATGCTGGAAATCAAACCTGGGTCAGTCGCGTGTAAGGCAAACACCCTATCCGCTGTGTTATCGCTCCAGCCCCAATCCTTCCTTCCTTCCTTCCTTCCTTCCTTCCTTCCTTCCTTCCTTCCTTCCTTCCTTCCTTCCTTCCTTCCTTCTTTATTTCCTTCTTTCTTTCCCCTCCCTATCCTACAAAGGATGTGAAGACTGTAATGAGCCTCCGGTTAGGATAAGCCTAGCAGATGCACGGAGGTTTCTGATATAAGACGCTGAAGACAGAACTGCCAACAGTCAAACCGCAGCATGTGGGGAAGCTCTTCAATTCCTTCCCCACCTCTTTTATATAGCGGATAAATAGCAAACTCCTAGGATTAGAATGATTATCAAGAAGTTTTATTAGAGTGGAAGCTTCAAATTGAAAAGAGATGGGATATTTGAGGAGTCATCACTATTTTCCTTGTATCGAGTACTTGCTGACTCAGCAGAACAGAATGCATTAGTTCACAATCTGAAGGTTATCTTTTTCAAATGGAAAGTATAGAAACTTTGTTCTATTTTAGGGATGAAAGCATAGAGTCTAGAGAATTGTCACTATGGGGTCTAAAGTATGTCCTGTACTTTATGATCAATGGTATTTCTTAAATGAACAGTTCTGCTTAGCTCAGGTACTTTCCAGATTGCTGGGGGGGGGGGGGGGGAGGGGGGATGTTAAAGATATAGCCAATTAGAAATCAGTTTAAGTTCATAGAGTCATGCAAGCCCAACAATATTGCTTCTTCCCAACAGCTATGAAATTGTTACTTTATTATCATAGTGGAGAAGTGATTCTGGAAATCATGCTACTACGTGGGTAAAGGTAAGATATCTGTGAATAGAACAAAGTCTATGCACACATACTTGGGCAAATCAAACTTTTTTTGTTATGTAGTAACACTATACATAGAAACGAAAAACTATTGATGGTTCTGATTCTCTAGCATCATGTATTGAGCATTGTGAGAATGGTTTGTAAATTTCTTTTTTTAATAGTGATGCCAGTGATTGAACCCAGGGACTCACCTGAAGGGTGGTTTGGAGTAAGTGGATGACACAGATATTTCAATTTTTTTCTCCATATGATTTTGTAATTTTTAAATAGCATTCAAGGGACTGGAGCAAAAGTATAGTGAGTAAGGCATTTGACTTGCACACAGCCAACCCAGGTTCAATCCCTGGCATCCCATATATATTGTCAAGCATAAATTCTTGAGTGCAAAGCCAGGAGTAACCCCTAAACATCACCGGGTGTGGCCCCTAAATAAAAGCAATTGTATATTCATATTTAATTTTATGCAATAAAAATCATATTTAATATTTGATGTCTCTTTCAAATTTATATTTCCAACCCAGATCTTTCACTCAAGGCTTGTCTTCCTTAGACATGTCACCAGTTGAACTTCTCATCTTCTTCCTAAAACATGCTTCAGCTACAGACTTTCATCTTGGTTGAAGAAAATTTCTTCCTTCCAAAAGGCAAAAAAAATTAAATTAAAAAAATTGCAGTCATCCTCAGTGCCGCCTGTATCTTCCATGACAGGTCACTTTTCAGCCAATCTTGCTGGATATTCAGAATCTGTCACCTCATCCAAATCTGAGTCCATTTATCCCACCTCAACAGAGGTACCATGTTTCTTCTCCAGGGTTACTCCAGCAGCTTCCCAGAGGGTCCACCTGCTTCCCACTTTTTCCCTTCAGCCTGTCCTAACAAAAAGGCAGAGTAAAGAAAAGCTAGGCAAGTTGCATAACTCCTCTCCAATGACTCTCTGTTTCTCTCTGGTCCTAGAATGACCTGCAAGGTCTTCCTGACTTGATTTCATTTTACCCTTGGCTTTCTTAGCACTCTCACCTGTCTTATGCACTCATCTCAGCCACAGCCGGCATCCTAACACCTTAAAAGCTCAGAATGGTTAGTTTTTCTGCCTAGTACTTCCTATATACTTCCTCTAGGCATCTCAGGGGCTGGTTAAATATCTTCTCAATGAACTAATCACCTGACTTAAAATTGCATACTGTTAATGTTAGGGTTTTGTGCATAACAGAATCCAGTAATACATCCTTCCCCAGAGTGTCCATTTTCCTCGGTCATTGCCTTGGTGTCCCCTCTCCTTCCCCCGCCCTTCCCTCCCCAATTTCCCCATGTGGTAAGCTTCCTACTGAAGACCAGTTCTCTGTTACCTCTGGACACTTATTATATCCCTACTATGTTTCTTTATATTCCAAATATGAGGGAGATCATTCTGTTCCTCTTTCTCTCTTTATAACTTTATTCAACATAATGCTCTCAGATACGTTCATGTAGAGACGTATTTCATAATTTCATTTTTTATAGCCGAGTAATATTCCATTATGTGTATGTACCATAGTTTCTTCATCCAGTCACTTATTTTTGAATACTTGGGTCTTTTCCAAAGTTTAGCTACTGTGAGTAGTGTTTAGAAATAGTAAATGTTCTTTCTCAATAGATCTCTTGGGCCCTTGGAGGTAGATACCAAGAAGTGGAATTGCAGGGTCATATGGGAGTTTAATTCCTTGGTATTTTTTTTTTAGAAGCGTCTATATTGTTTTCCAAATAGATGGATCAGTCAACATTCCCACCAGCCATGAATGAGGGTTCCTTTATTCCCCCCCCCCGCCTAAAAATACCAGCACTTATTATTTTTGTTCTTTTTTATGTGTGCCAGTGTTTTTGGGTGAGATAATATCTCTTTGTTTTATTTACATTTTCTCTGAATCATGAGTGATGCTGAGTATTTTTTCGTACACGTTTGGCCATCTGTATGTCTTCTTTGAGGAAGTTTCTATTAATTTATTCCCCCAGCCCCATTTTTTGGTGTATTTTTTGCCTTGTAAAGTGCTACTAGAACTTTGCATATATTGGATATTAGCCTTTTGTCAGATAAGTAGTGGGTCAAACTCTTTTTATTCAATTGTTTATCTCTTCTTTCTCACATAACTGTCTTTTAATGAATTTAAAATCCTCTGTATGTTTCTTATGAAGGAAGATACAGGTGTCACCAAACTCAAGAAACCTAAAGGCATGCATCAGTTTGGTGTTGGATATCATTGGGTTGTCCTTGGTCCTCCCACAGGGAGCTTAGGCTTGTTGAGTTACTTCCACAACAGTGCCCCTGAGGCACACCCAATTCCATCAGGCACTAATAATCCTATATAGCTTTTCTCTTTCCTTTATGTCATTTGCATGGTTTATTTAGCAATGTCCTTTTTGTGTGGACACAGGAAGACAGTTGATGCTATGCATTTGTAACATGGGAGTTAATTGATTCCAAATAATATTTACTCCTGGGCATCCACCATATTCACCTGACTTAAGCTTCAGTTACCCTTACTTCCTAACACCCCCAAAATGAGGGTCCCGACAAAGAAACTGGATGGATGCAGGGAAAGCTGTAGCTACCTTGGCATCAAAAGGGGACAAGCTAAACGCCATAAGTATAATAAGTTAAGAGCATGGTAATGAAACAAACTCTGTCATGACCCCCGAAAAATAAGGATCCTGTTGGGGTTAGGAAAGACTAACCTGGCCTGAGTATGTGGTCTGGATTATATAACGAGATGTCCCCAGGAAGAGCCAACATTTAAGCTTAATATATCTCTTACTGTGTTCATACAAAATGACTAGAAGTATTATAAGAAATAAATTTACTATGATTGTTTAAATGGATTACTAGTTGAGGAAAGAGAAAGAAATACACCCTAGATGGAATCCCACCCTTGAGCGGATCTCCTAGTAAACTTGAATGCTTAATCATCAGATGAGATTTTGTCCTTGAACTTACTTTTCTCCTAGAACTTCCCCTGAAGGAGTGATGTTACTTCTGTTTGTTGTTATGACAATGTTCAACCCCATCTCTGTGTGCCCCCACCCTTCATGATTTCTATATAACTATGCTGTAAGGGGAAAGAGGGGAACTAAGAGCTAAACAATGGAACTAGGGTGATGGAACTATGATGACAGGGACTATGACCAAAACTACGACCACAATTGTGCTGTAAGGGGAGAGATCTAACTATACTGTGGAGGAGAGAGAAGTAAACTGACGACCAACCAGCCTGAGGCCCAGTCCCTGTTTCTTTGTTCCCACAGTCCTTCTTCCATCTATCACCATGAGCCAGTCAAAGGAACAGTTCTTGGCCACTGAACGCTCAAATCCCTTGCATGCCCATACTTTTTCTTTGGAATTCACAGTTAGGGACCCTGAATCCTTCACCTTTCATTTTTTCCATGCTGTGGAATATTATTTCTACATTCTGTCTGGCCATTCACCTTTTGAGTTTCTGTGTCCTTTGCTACCATGTCAGGAACTGAATATAAGGGTGCGAATGGCATCTTCCAGGTAAATGTCCTTTTTTTTTTCCTTTTTGGGTCACATCCAGGGATGCTCAGAGGTTTCTCTTGGCTCTGGACTCAGGAATTACTCCTGGCGGTGCTCAGGGGACCGTATGGAATACTGAGTATTGAACCCGGGTCAGCCGCGTGCAAGGCAAATGCCCTACCCACTGTGCTATCAGTCCAACTCCTAAATAGACTCTCGATGCCTTACACTGTCTTTGAACACTGACCTCCAGGAAGTTCGGAATAAGATGCTCGTGCACAGTACGAGCAGTGCTCTCACTGATAATGGACAGAGATAGAAATAAGGGATTCCTTTGACTTCCTGCTGCTGATATTTTAGCATCACTTGGAACTGGTGACAAAATTGATAATTTACCCCTTAAGATAACAGTATAATGAAAAGGTAAACACAGTAAAGGCTCTTTGTTGATGGTCTAGTGGTGGCGATATCATTCAGGTGGCCCATAAGTTGCCTTCACTTTTTATTTTTTTAAGTAGAAGGGGTGGGGCATGGGACTTGTTTCAAGCCACATCCGGTGTGCTCAGGGGTTATGCTGGTTCTGTGTCCAGGAGTGACCTCTGGTAGTTTGTGGGGAACCATGTGGTGCCATGGATCAAGCCAGAGTCAGCTGGATGCAAGGGAGCCCTAATTCCTCTGCTATCTCTCCAGACCCATCTCCTGACCTTTAATGCTTCTGAAAAATTCCTCTCCCCACTTTCTGCTGCTGCTGCTGTTGCTGGAATGAACATGGTTTCTCACCTCCTTGGCTGTGGGGTTCATTGGAGGTTGAACACTTGCATTTGCACATAAGCTCACTGGGAGTCACACTTTTAATTATGAAGATTCTGGCTCCAGTATGAATGCCCTTCTGGGCAAGGGGATATGATTTTTGGTGAAGGTGAACGTTTGAAAATCCTTTGGTGAAATGTTGATTGCCACTCAGGAAGTCATTGATATAGATGGGGGATGTGGTTCTATCAATCTATTGTGGCAATGGCTTCCCAGAGCACATTATGATATCTTAATATTTCTGTAACATAAAAAATTGAAATAACTGAGACTAGAAATAATATACACTCTCCACTCCTTTGTACATACACTCATAGTTTAGGAATGACTCGTGTTTTTCCTCATCCTGTTACACAGGTTTATAATTAGATCAAGTAAGTGCAAAACTGAGTTACATGACAGTGCACTTAGCATCTAGTAGGCCTCAGAGTATCCTAGGAAACATAAGTCCTGCCTTTACGAAAGTGAGCTCTGTTTCTGCACTGAGAGGGCTAGTTTCCCTTATCAAAGCATTAGTTTACTATAAGAAGATGGAAGAAAAAGGTAAGGTTCAAACAAACTTTCTTTATGGTGTTTTTTCCTTTCTCTGTGAGCTGCCCCCAACCCTCTCTTTTGGGTATTGGGACACACCTGGCAGTACTCAGGGACCACTCATGGTGGGACTCAGATGCAAGGCAAGTGCCTTACTCACTGTACTATTTCTCCAGCCCTCCTGAAAGCCTTTTTTAGAAAAAAAAAAGTAGATAATTTTGTATTTATCATTAATCTATTTACAAGAACCAGGATTGTTCCAAGCTAGCTTCATTAAATTAAATAAAATTACTCATGAACTTTTATTCTGATTTGGCAGTCTCTTTTGCAAAAAATCACCCAGAAGTATACTTCCCAAGAATATACAATATACACATATCTACTCATTAATTGAAGCATTATCTGCAATTAAAGCCTATTGGGAAGGCCTTGAAACTTTATTTATTTTTACCTGCATTTTCTTGTTTTTAATTTAATTTTGTTTTTATAAAGTAATTCACAGTATTTGACTACATTTAATATTCGAACGCCAATCCCACCACCATTACACCTTCCCACCACCATATTTCAGATGTTTTTGTTCCGAACCCCAACCCCGGCCCCAAAGCAGAACCAAAATAATTTATTTTGTATTGTTTGTTATGAACAAACTGCTGAAAATGCTCCAAAAAACTTTCCTTAGGGGTAAGTATGTGAAGATTGTTGTATTTCACCTAGAGGCCTTTAAGCCCTTCTATAAGAAATTACTAACATATTGTTAAAGGTTGAGTCTTGTGTGATTATCTATATGTATATGTATATATATATGTAGAAATATATTTTCCTTCTAAGATTGATCGCCTTCTACTTTAAACCCCATCAACTGTGGTGTGCTACTCTTGGAATATGAGTGGTGTGAGGTATGAGGGGTCCAGGAGTCGATTCACTCCTGGGTGGGGCTCCCCCGGAGCATGTGGAGAGTGGCAGTGAGCATGGTGGCGGTTGAGTCTGGAGATTTTTGGCTGCTGGGGCTGGGTCCCTTGGGAGGGGCCTCACTCTCCCCCCTCCAGGGTGCCCCAGGCCCTGAAACTTTAGCTATAGGCAAGTGGCCGAATAAACTGTGATCATCATGGTGGAGTAGAGCTGGGTTTGAGGTTCATCCCAGGTGGCGCTCCAGGTCCTGACTGCCAGGGTTGGTGCTTCGGACTCACAGTTCTGCCCTTTCGTTACATTTGTAGAACAACCGAGCAACTGGGTCTTTCCTGGACATCTCTGGGTCATGGAGTCACCACAGCCAGAGAAGTTGATGAGCCATGAGAGGCAGAATGGATGCTTCTCATCGGAGCTATGCTTGACCCAGCTTCTTCATCTCAGCTGCCCTTGGGCTCTCTGGCAGACTGGGGGCTTCCCTCTTCTCTCAGGGCTCTCCCAAGGCTCTTGCGGGCTCAGGACAGGAGCAGCCTTAGCTTAGTGGTGGTGGTTCTTCCTGCCTTTCCTGGGTTGTCTGGGCTCATCTGAGTGGCAGGGGGGCAGAGGCAGTGTGGCAGCACCCCTTAGCTAACTGTGCCCCTGCTAATGGCACCTCCACAAACGTGCGCACTCAGGGGTTCCTCTTCCAGCCTTATTCTCTCTGGGGACCTCCTTTCTAGGGGACAGGATAAAGCCAACACCGTGCCTTTGCAAACTGCTCGGCAGACATGTACACAAACAAGTATCCAAGGCCTTGCCTCCCCTCCCCCCACCCACCTGGTTCTGCTCTCTTTCTTCCCTGGGTGTCATTCACAAGATCCCATGCCCAAGGTCCCACTGTGTTTCATTGTTAAACCAAGGAGCATCTGTTTTTCTGTGTCCAGCAAAACAAGCGCAAAGAATCACATGGACTCAAGGACTCATTCCTGTCCTAGGCATCCAAAATGTGCAATCAGGATTTAGCTCCCCAGGCTGAAACTTAACTATGCTTAATGTCGGAGAAAACCCCCACGACTTCTACTAACATTCTTACCAGGTAGATACATAAAAGAATAATAAAGATATTTATGAATTGTATGGGGTGACTTCCAACATGAACTGGGTGAAAAAAACATAGTGTGAAAGCATACTACCACCAACAAAAATACATGAAAAATGCTCAAAGATTATAGAATAGACCCACAGAAAGAAGCTTAGCATCATTAGGCATAAGAAAGATGCAAATCAAAACTGCAGTGAGATATCATTTCACATTCACGGGGTGGTTATAATTTAGAAAGGAAATAATTCTTATTTTTAAAAATGTATTTATTTTTAATTTTTTTATTGAATAACTGTGAGATAAACACTTACAAAGCTGTTCATGATTAGATTTCAGTCACACAATAGAAAGGAAATAATACTTGAACATAGCATGTGTTGCTGAGGGTCTGGAGAAAGTAGAACACTCATACGTAGGAAAACTAGAACCCTTATACATTGCTGGTAGATGCATAAAATGGTGCAGATGTGGGAATGGTGGGAATGGTGGGGAGGAACCACTTTAAAAAGTGAGACGGGACCTGAGAAATGGTACAGTGTGTCGGCGCTTGCCTAACCTTCAGTCAGTCTGGGATTGAACGCTTGCACCACATATGGTCTCCCGTGCACCCTCAGGAGTTATATTTGAGCACAGAGACAGGAGTATAAGCCCTGAGCACAGCCAGGTGTGACCCATCCTGGTGGCAATGCCAAGTCCAAGTCTCTCTTTAAGAACTGCGACATGATGTGGAAGCAGAGCATCTGGACGTCCACCATCTCCAGCCACCTGGCCATCAAGCACCTCAAGGACGGAGGCCTCCTCACCTTGACAGGGGCCAAGGCGGCCCTGGATGGGACTCCTGGGATGATCGGCTACGGCATGGCCAAGGGCGCGGTCCACCAGCTCTGCCAAAGCCTGGCGGGGAAGAAGAGCGGCATCGCCCTGCTTCCGGTTACCCTGGACACCCCGATGAACCAGAAGTCCATGCCTGAGGCCGACTTCAGCTCCTGGACCCCCTTGGAGTTTCTAGTTGAAACCTTCCATGACTGGATCACAGAGAAAAACCGACCCAGCTCGGGAAGCCTAATCCAGGTGGTCACCACGGAGGGAAAGACAGAGCTGACCCCTGCATATTTCTGAGCCCCATGTTGTGCGAGGGCCCGACGGGAGGAGTCGTCGGTGGCTCATGTGGCCGCATCCGGGCCTCCCATTGTTTGTTCTGTCCGTGGTGCCAGATCTCTCTGCTCATTCTGTGTCTCCTGTGTCCGTGTGGAATAATGCCCCATGTGCCCGTGCCAGTGTTCGGGACGGCGTCCCCTGACCTGGCACCCGAACCCGTGATTTGGAATGTTTCTGTCTTAGACTAGTTTCCTTGGTTGAACTGCCTTAAGTCCCCCTTGGTGTGTGAGCTCGTGCCCTGGGCTCTGTGGCATGTCTGTCACTGTGTCATTGCCAAGTCTTTTTCATCCAATAAATGTACTTCACTCAAAAAAAAAAAAAAAAGGGAGGGAGGAAGGAAGAGAAGAAGAAAAGAAGAAGAGAAGAAGGGAGGGAGGGAAGACACCGCACTCTGGGGTGTGTGTGTGTGTGTGTGTGTGTGTGTGTGTGTGTGGCGGTGGTGCCTGAGGCCATCAAACCCATTTAGGGTTCATCTTTGCTCAGGGCAGGGAATGACAAGGAATGACAACTTAGCCTGTGACCCCAAGAAACAGGCACCTGGAATTCAAGCCTCGGGGCTTAGGGGCATGACCCAATGTAGAGGTTGTTGCCTGAAGAAGAGTTAAAAATAAGTTAGAACAATGCTAACTAAAAGCAGAAAAACAATAGCTTAACAATATTGGGGTCCCAGAAGGAGAAGAAAAAGAGAAAGGGTAAAAACCCTATCTGAAGAAATAATAGCTTGGGGGCTTTGGAAAATTAGGGAAAGAACTAAATATCCAATTAAAGGAACATGCTAAAGGAAAGAAATGAGATGTGTAACCATATGTGTTAATGTGTTAACCTCAATCCACAGAGGTTGAGTACAGATTAGTCAATGGCAGGGCTTTTGGTGAGAAAGAAGTGGGAGTAACTCCCTATTGAATATGGAGAGTGTTAGACTGATGTAAATATTGTGCAGCAAATAAAGGTGAGTGATGTACAAAATACTAGTGAATATACTGGACACCAGTAAGTTGTACACTCAGAATAGTAAATTTTATGTTCCCCATGATGAAACAAAGTACCTAAAATATGCCCTTTTTCATGAAGAAATAAAGGGAACATAAAATATGCATGAATTCTTTTGTACAAAAGAAATACAAGAATGATCATAAGATTTGTGACTCAGAAAGAGGGTAAGAATGGGTAAAAAAATTAGGAGGAGGTAATGGAGTTGTAAGGGAGAGTGACATTTGTCTGCTATAACAAGATAATTTCGGGTGATTACAATTCTTAGAACCATGAAAATATTTCATATACCCCAAATTAAAAAAATTGATCAGGATGAGTGAAGAGGCCAAATTTAGAAGCAGTACAACAAACTGATATAACTATTATAAACTGATATCATAAGTATGACAAAGAGTTGGGAAGAACCAAGTAACTGTTAATTGGAAAACAGTATTTTTAAAAATTAATTTTACTTTTTTTCCCAAAATTTTATTTAGTCACTGTGATTTTCAAAGCTATCAATTATAGAGCTTGAGATATACAATGTTCCAAAACCAGTTCCATCATCAGTGTCATTTTCCCTCCACCAATGTCTCCAGTTTCACTCCCCAGCTTCAGCTCACCACCTTAACAATTTTGGTTTTGTTTTCTTGGGCCACATCTAATGGTGCTCAGGGCTTACTCCTGCTCTGTTCTCAGGGATCACTCCTGGCAGTGCTGGGGGATCAAATGGGGCACTAGAGATCAAACTCGGGTTGGCCACCCCGGTCAGCCATGTTCAAAGCAAATGCCCTATCCACTGTACTGTCTCTTTGGCCCAATATTTTAAAATTTATTTATCGTAGTGTAGGTTTCAAATGTAGAGTAGTGTTGGCTCTGTGGTTCGGTTGTGTACAGATACCTCCCTTCTCCAGCTGTGGCTGTGTAGTATGCCACAGGGTCTATATACCACACCTTCATTATCTATTCATCTGTCATCGGACACCTGGGTTGATTCTATATCCTTGCTGTTGTCCTAATTGCTATAGTAAAAAATGGTATGAATAGGAATTTTTTTTTTTTTTGCTTTTTGGGTCACACCCGGCGATGCACAGGGGCTACTCCTGGCTCATACACTCAGGAATTATTCCTTGCGGTGCTAGAGGGGCCATATAGAATGCTGGGAATCGAACCTGGGTCAGCTGTGTGCAAGACAAATGCCCACTGGCTGTGTTATCGCTCCAGCCCCATGAATATGCATTTTTGAATTAATGTTTTTGTATTTTGTGGATAGATACCAAGAAGTGGAATTGCTGGATCATATGGAAACTATTCTTTTTTGCGGTATCTCCATACTGTGTAAAACAATTTTGACTGAGTAATGTAGACAAAAGATAGAAAAAGCTATATACAAATGGTTGCAGGTCATTTTACCTTACTTTTGGATAAGCAATTCTAAAATGACTTTATTTGAAAATAAGCAAAGAATTTTTTGTTTGGTTTTGGTTTTTGGGTCAAACCCAGAGGTGCTTAGACATGGATCTGTGCTCCGGGATCACTCCTAAAAGGCTCAGGGGACCATAAGGGGTGCTGAGGATGAAATCTGGGTCAACCACATACAAGGTAAATGCCCTGTCCTCTGTACTATTTCTCCAGCCTAGGAAAGGACTATTTGGAGAAATTAATTATTCCATACAAAATATATGATTAAAATATTAGATGGTACTGGAATATTTTTGGAGCTAGAAAGTAAAGATAAAAAAATAATAGGGTGTCAAGAATGGCCGAGATTAGTACCAGGAATTTTACTCCACGGCTTGGAGGCCAACCACACATACTAGGGGAAAAGGGAGCTCAGATAAAGAAGGGAACACCAAATAAAGGTGTTGGGAGAATCCTCCCAGGATGGGAGAAGCATGTGGAAAGTAGGCTATAGACTAAACATGATTGTCACCCATTGCCTCTTTTGCAAACCAAAACACCCAATAAGAGAGAGAGAACAAAAGGGAATGCCCTGCCACAGAGGCAGGGTGGGATGGGGGGGATGGGGGATGGGAGGGATACTGGGATCCGTGGTGGTGGGAAATGGGCACCAGTGGAGGGATAGGTATTTGATCATTGTATAATTGAAACCCAAGCACAAAAATGTGTAAGTCTGCAACTGTACCTCATGATGTCTCACTATTAAATTTTTTTTAATAAAATAAAAAAATAATAATAGGGTGAGTGAAAATTATTAAGAAACCAACTTGAAGGAAGTCCTAATGAAATTTGGGTCAAATTGAGCTAAACATCCAATAATGATAGTGATGGGTTATAATCCATAAAATAAAACAAATATCTCAGAATTGTAAGGATATAAATAAATGAGAAGGAACAGCTCTTCTTTAACTAATTTAGGAGTGATAGAAAAACTGGGGTACGCAGACCTCTGACTCTGTAAGAGTTTGTAGGAGATATATGGGTGTAGATAGTTTCACGTGAATCAATTTTCCAGAAGATCATTTTTCTTTATACATGTATACATATCAAATTAATTAATAATGTGATCTTGATGTTTTATTATGATGTTTATTTGATGTTTCATTTTGAACCTTTATGATGTGAATAAGAAAAAAATAAGCTCATATTGTATGAAAGGATGCTATTTGAGGACTTGCTTTCATTATACATTATTTTACTTAGGGTTTCAGTTTCTAAGAACCTATCAATAATGTTAAGGGCTTACTGTATTTCCTCCTTATAATTTGCCATTTCATAATGGTCCTTCCACTTGACAAAAGAAAAGCAATCCTCTCACCCATGTCATAGATTACTGTAGTGAAGCAATCCGGGGAGGGAAAAGTCTGGGATACCAAGCAAAGGGACAATTTGAAAATGCATATCTTTGAGGTGTCCATGACAGCAAACCAAAGAGCTTCACTGAAATGTTGGAAGCGGCAGAATAAGAAGCAAGTGTCTATTCATACTTAGTCTTTCTAAGAAGGGTTTGACAAAAATAAGGTTGAAAGTGGGGCTTTGTCCACTTACAAGGAAAGAGTCTAATCTGATTTAGATGATGAGGAGCTTGAGCTCTTCCAGGAACCAGTCATGCCACATACCAGACTGACTGGTCCAAGAATGTGTGATAACGTGCTTATCTCTACCTCCTCCACATGGTTTTATTCTTGTATGGAGTTATTATGTCCACAACCTTCACTGTGACCTAGATAGAGTCAGGAGCTTCCAAGACCTGTTGTCACTTTCTCTGAACACCCTTAAACTCATTATGTATACATAATGAAAATTGCTTTACAGGATCAGCTTTATGACCTGTCTTTGTAATTTGTCTGGGAGCATCAGAGCTTCCTTGGACATCAACTTTAAGATTAAAAGTGTTCAAATTTGTTACAGTAGCCAATGGTGATTCTATACTTTAAAATAAAAACACTTCTTTAAACAGATCAATTTCTAAAATGGAAAGTGTTTTGTTAAAATGACCGCATATTCAGTGTAAACATTCAAGTAACTCAGAGTTTATGAAAAAAGATGAAACCTCCCAAATTCCACTAAAAGAAAAGAGGAAACCTACCAAATTCTACTAGTCAACAATAGTGAGTCATATTTTATGACTATCTTTCCAGATACAGTCTATGTCCAGATACATGTGTGTATTATTTTACATAACTGAGATGAAAGTATTTATGCGTGAGATGAAAGTATGCATGCTGTCTGCTTTCTTTTGCTCAATATTATATGTGTGCTTTGTATCATTTGTGTTTTATCTATGTGCTCTACACTCCCTTACTCAAGAATTTCCAGTCTTTTTCTTTTGAACAGTGCAAGAATGTCCTTGTTTAAAAGGTTGATTTTTTTTTTTGATAATAGGCAGACTTAAAGAGAGTTATGGATCACCTCTCTGGCAAAAGGGAGATATTCACATATATCATTCTAATTTTTATATGGTTACCCCTCCCCCCCCCCCCCCCCCCCGCAGGGCCAGGGAGAGGAACACCACTTGGGTGCTGAGTATTGAATGCAGGGGCA